AGGAGGGCTCCGGGGGGGCCCAGGGGGGAGAGCCCCCCGCCCTCGTCCATCAGGATGTCCTCGAACCCCCCCTCGGGACCCCCCAGGGGCAGCCCCAGCCCCGGTGGAAGCTCCAGCAGGGCCGGGGGGACGGGGGGACCCCCAGGAGGGAATTGGGGACCCCCCGGAACCTCCTCGGACCCCCCCTCAGCCATGGGGGGGCTCAGGGGGAGCCCGTGGATTTGGGCCTGGAGCTCCAGTTCCTGCAGGGGGAGATTTTGGGGAGGGGGATTCGGTGATCCCGAATATTCCCAGCTCGGTGCTCCCTCCTGGGTTCTGCTCCCCAAAGGGATCCCAAAACCCGGCCCCGAGCCAGAATGTTCCAGAAAATTCCGCTCAGCCGTCCCCAGGGCTCTCCCGGGTCCTCTGGAGCCTCTCAGAGCCTGAGCCCCGCCCCCTTCCCAAACCCAGTCCCGCCCAATTCCCAGCCCTGATCCCGACCCCAGCCCCATTCCCACATTCCTGCTCCTCTTCCCAAATACCTGATCCTAAATCCCCGATCCTGATCCCGAATTCCTGATCCCAAATCTCCAATCCTGATCCCGAATTCCCGATCCCAATCCCAAATCTCTGATCCCAATCCTAAATTCCTGATCCCAATCCCAAACTCCCAATCCCCAATCCCCAATCCCAAATCCCCAAATTCCCGATCCCAATCCCGAATTCCCGGACCTGCAGCCTCATCCTGAGCCCTCTGTTCGCCTGTTCCAGCCGCTGCTGTTGCAGCTCCAGCTCCCGCGCTCGCTGCGTTTCCTTCTGCAGTTTCCGGATGTAATCCACCGACGCCTTCAGGATGGTGCCCTTGTTCCAGCGCATTTCCCTGCCAGGACCCGGCGTCACCGGGAAATCCCGCCCCGAAAATCCCACCGGGAAATCCCACCCCGAAAATCCCACCCCAAAAATCCCACCGGGAAAATCCCACCGGGAAATCCCACCCGGAAATTCCACCCCGAAAATCCTGCCCAGAAAATTCCTGGCTCCTGGGGGACCTTCCAGGACCTTCCATGGGAGAATTTCCCTTCCGGGACCTGCCCTGGGTGCCCAGAACACTCCCAGAGTCCCTTCCTGGACCTCCCATGGGAAGCATTCCCCTTCCAGGACCTCCCAAAGGAAAAATCTTCCTTCCAGGACTCACCCTGGGAGTCCCTGACTGCCCAATTCCCCTTCCAGGACCTCCCAAAGGCAGAATTTCCCTTCCAGGACCCATCTTGGGAGTCCCTGACTGCCCAATTTCCCTTCCAGGACCTGCCCTGGGTGCTCAGGATGTTCCCATGGTCCCTTCCAGGACCTTCCATGAGGAAAATTTCCCTTCCAGGACCTGCTCTGGGGGTCCCTGACTCCCCAATTCCCCTTCCAGGACCCCCCCGAGGGTCCCAGCGCCCCCCGGGCCCCTCCCCCACTCACGGGTCGCTGGATTTGGGGATCAGGGTCCCCAATTCCTTGATCCGATCGTTGATGTTGAAGCGCCGGCGCCGCTCGACTGCGGGGGGGGACACGTGA